TAGTTTTATTATAAATTAAAGTTTAAAGAATGGATAAGTTAATAAATGTACACTTTTAACAAAATGTTTTATCTTATTCTGAAATCTCAAATATTTTTACACCAAACAAATAAATTAATAAAAAAATGTCTTAAAATAGCCCTTTATTTAATTATTTATTATAATTAATTACAAAATATAAAATCTTATAACTAAGATAAGAAAAACGAGCGCTAGCTGCCAGGGCCTTCAGCTCGGATATTATAAATTAAATTTTATTTACTAGGTTACAGGCTTTAATATATTAAAATATCCCATTAAATATCTTAAAATCAATCTTATATTTTTACTATTTGGATTAATAATACATTCAGTGGGGTTTTATAACGATTTCGAGTTTTAATAAATTTTATATTGTATAATGTCTTCAAGGAAGTGGTTAATGTATATTGGTTAATTGGCTCTACAGAAATCACAGTTTTTAACAAGTGATTTTTTACTTAGATCGATACAGGCATGAAAATTTACTTTCCTTTATTATGAAAATACAGAAACTACTGTCTTTAGGGTTAAAGTTGATAATAGGAAAATTGATTAGCTGAGTTGTTATTTTGGAATCAATCAGCCATTAGCTTGTCCCAAATCTAATAACAATTAATTTTGGATAAGATTTTGTTAGCAAATTTCCTTTTTATCTATATCTAAGGTTTTTTTCTACTCTGTATTATGTACAAATTTGTCTTATTTGTATCTAATATACTTTAATATATGCGTTGAAATTAAACCATTATACATAAATATATATACATTTTGTAGGGTTAACCCTACGTATACTATGTGATCTCTCTGAGCTAACATATAATTATTGTTTAAAGTTTAGTTTGATTAACTGTCGTAGTTAAAAAATAAATAGTTGTTATCCAAGTAGTCATTAAAAAAAATATTTAAAAATCTACATTTATAAAAACATAAATTATTTATAAAAATATAATAATTTATAACATAATATATAATACATACTCAATGTTATATTCGTTACACTCTTAATAGGCGTTAAGTAAAACTTTTTCTAAACAACTTTTATTTAGCTATCGAAATATTTTCGTTAATACGTATTGTAGAGTAAAATTTAAGGGCGGTTCAACAAGATAACCTGTTGGTAAGGCTAAACACCATGGATATAAGTAGAGATTAGTATTGGATTCTAAGTTTTGATGCATGACTTAATACATAACAATAGTTTGATATAAAGATAATAGTACAACTCTGGCAGTCTGACGGAAAATAAAAAGGCTAGCAGAGATAAAGCAGATACATACATAAATCGGAAGGACTTTTAATAGATTGTTTGCAGCTCTTTTAGCTAGCCTTCTGATAATCTTCGTATCTTATTTGACTTTGTATTTATATTTAGAGTACAAAGCTCTTGCTAAAGGGAGTTTTGGGAACTTTGAATCATCCCTTCATCAGTTTTGACAGCATTGCTATTTAAGATTTAGGAACTGTTCCTGTCTTTCCTAAAAAAAATAGAGCGGTGCTCCCTAATTTATTTTATGAATTTATTAATTACAATCTATTTATTA